GGTGCAAGATTATGCCAAAATTTCATGTTTTCCGTCTCGTTTTTGCTCATTTCTCGGAGGCAAAATGAGCAAGAACGCTCATTTGTACATCATTCTAGACAGAAATAAATAGTTTTTTAGAAGGGGATCATGGATGGGGAATTGTTGGCAGTTTTCTCAAAAAATGCTTGAATTCAAGAAGTTTTAGATTTGCGTGATTTTTTTTTGAGTTGCAAAATCCACTTGAACATGACGCTGCTTCTTTCGAAGTTTCTCAAGAACCATTCGAGTCACAGAATTCGTTTTGGCATCGTTGGATAGAGAATTGAAAAGTCGATTCAGTCGTAACGTGAGTGAGGAAATTCGAGTAGTTTTGACACAGAAAGCGAAATTTGAATATCAGACACTATTATATACACACGAGCGGCCTAATGCCTAAGCTAGAGACCGCAGGGTGGGGACGCCCAGACATAACGGCGACGTAACGCATTCCGATGGGCTAAAACGATTTTTTATTTTTTAAATAACAATTTAAGTTCACGATGAGTTAATTCGATTTAGGTTTGATTAGTTTTTAGACGTAGTGGTTTAACTCGAACGTCACTTTTTCAAATGCATTGATTGTATTTGTTAATTTAGGTGTCTTACCCAGACCGAATCGCAACCATGCACCCAGTGCCAACGGCTGCGGTTCATATGGTTTAAAAATCAACTCTGACTACTTACCATCAAAGGGTATGCAGAAGTGCTGCGACACTCACGATATTTGCTATGATACCTGCAACAAAGACAAGGAAGTTTGTGATGTCGATTTCAAAAGATGCCTTTATAAGCTGTGCGACGAGTATTCCAACACACTCGGAGGCCAATCTTCAGTAATCAAAGGTAATCCGATTTTAAAAAATATATTAGGTGCAAGTAATTTTCTTAATTAGTAGATAGTAGCCCATAACATATAAAAACTGATTACTTTTTGGAATATTTTTTAAAATATCCCTCTATATCTTTTCGATTTGTAGCGTGTAAAGGAGCCGCAAAAATTCTATTTACCGGAACGCTGACGTTGGGTTGCAAGTCGTATATAGAAGCTCAGAAACAGGCCTGCTATTGCCCACCCGTACCAGGTTGGAAAGAGAAGAAGAAAAGTAAATATACAACTGGTGGACCGCGTAATGATTTATAATTGTTTGTCGTACTAGTAAGACTTAAGGCGTTGATGTCAACATTAAGTATGTAAATTTTTAATATGTACATTTTTACGTTATTTGTAATTTGCAAGCCATCTGTGCTGCTCTCATCATCGAGATACGCATTGATTGGCTCAAATGGCAGCAGATCTTCTGGCAAAATGTTTTTGCACATAAAGGAAAAGAACTGAAAAATAATATTTTGCCTAAGAACGGCCACGTTATTTCAGTTGTGAATTTGGAATGAGCTGTGTTTGTGATACATATTATTTTCTCTATATATTAATGCATTTTGTTTTAATTTAGGTTTAAGCATTGTATATTTTGTGAACTACAATGAGATTAGAATTAAATTTGTTTTTATTTCAAATTCAAAGCGTGTGTTTTTCAAACAAATGTATCAAAATTTAAAAAAATGATAATAAATTGACTGATCTGATAACGATTAGTATTTTTTTAGCTAAACGCTTTGACGTAAAGGCGCCTGCTTCCATTCAATTAGCCGTCCTTCCTTTTAAAATGTTACTGGGCTTATTTGAACAGTACGAAGAACAAGTTTCCGTATAATTCTCGTCTGTTTTAGCTCATGAAGGTGTACATTCAGCAATATTTGAAAGTAGTTCAATGTTCATTTGGCAAACTATTAGTGTAGCTAAACATTAAAAAAATATTTATAAAACTTTCTTAAGCTTAGACAAACTTACAATTTGAAATAATCGGATTTATTAAACTTTTTCATGCAAGATTGCAATTGTCACTATGCCAGGTAGCGATTTAAAATAAAATAAAAAATAAAAAGTTTTTGTACCACTACACTCAAGAATTCACCACTTGTCCAAAACGGCTAAACTCGATTGTTTAATCAAAATATGAGTCTTACATAAGAACAAATTCACAGCGAGTTTCACCAAAATCCATCATACTCATCGATATTTCAAAAAAGATAATTTTTTTGAAGAACTTTAACCGTCAATAGCAGAGGAGCCAGACATTTTTTGTTAATAAAAGTTAGGTCAGATCGTCTTCTTTTGATGCAAAGAATATCGCAGTATCCTTTTGATCATGTGCTTACGGGACACGCTGTATTTTCTGTTTGTGCGGAGTTTTCCAGATTGTGATCTGGAAAGCAATTTAATTTTAGCATGATATGCCGTAATTAAACCTGAAAATTGATTTTCTTTATAAACGTTAAGTAAATTTAACTTTTTCTTTATCGGAAATTCGTATGATGGAATAGGAATTAAAATCTCTCTCTACAGCAGTAAACTCTGTTTGATTTCGGTTTTGAAGCACTCCGTTTAACCTAAACTCAATTTATTTCTTAACGGAAATTGTAAAGATGGTTTATTTCGGGACGGATTAAGGAAAAGCTAAACTCGTTTCAACTTTGAGCCAAACGGGAATTGATTTAGGATGTAGTAAAAAAGATCTTAATTTATTTAAATCATATAAAAATCTGCATTAATGAACGACTGAAATGTCCGGCAATGGGACGAAATGACATATTTTACCTTTTCTTTACCGTTACATTTTTTTAACATACGAAACATTCCACACACTATCTGCCATTCCTAAATACTTCCATCTGCAACGCTGAAATTTCCCAAACCTCACCGAAAAAAAAAAATAAAAATAAAAAAAAAACGCTAAAATGGAATACTTGAATCCTTGGATCCTTGAAATAATAAATCTGGAGATACGGATAACGCATAAAAAACAAGAATATCACAGGAGAAGACTATAGAATTGCAGGGGAGGAATGGTATGCTACAGGATAAGACATTGAGGCATAGAAACGGACTAAAAATGTCCAAGAGCGGATGGACGAAAAATGAGAAAAAATAATAAAACGTCCTTGTGTCAGTCGAAACTCATTATCCCGTGGATCCTGGTAGAGACTATTGCCAAAAATATATTCTTTAGAAGATTATTTGTTTCCAAATTAGAATCTGTGGCTTATCAGGTACAAGAGCAGGGATGAGTTGCTAAAGGAAATAGCGGAAAGTCGGTTTGTACACACCGGATAAAATCTAATGAAACAAGCTTATGTACTTGAGTGTGAATAACTAGTTTCAAATAACCCTTGCATATAATATCTGGCCTCATATTTGAATGAATATGCCCTTGCACCATATACACACGCAAGTTCCGAAGATGAATACTAAAATATATTTTTCTTTCCGTCGAGAAAAAGTGCTAAACATATAGTTATTGTGTTTGGTTTAAACATTTACTTTCTTCTAGGGCAGCATATGGGACTCAGTTACCCAACGAGGGTTATTTTTATTCCAGTACTTTCAGTTTAGCTGATTTACAAAAGTTTGCTGATTAATTAGAGTTCAAGTGATTTCAAATGTTGTTAAGTTGTGCTTTTTTAAAGTTTTTCTTTTTCTTCATTTCTCTTCGCCTTCTATTCGCCCAGACTGAATTCCCAAGAAAAATAATCCATTCTTCAATTATTCGATATCGATTAAGAACCAAAGCTATTTTTTTAGGCAAGTGTTAAATGTAGGGATATAAAAAGGTAAATCTGAATTAAAATATTTAGAGCGAATAATTAATTTCAAAACTTCACTTTGCTAACTGAACATTGTTTACGTATACGTGAACACTTGTTGCTCACTAAATTTGTTGCTAGTACGTCCATCTTCATTTATTGCCACAGCTAAGCCATTCTTTAGTTTTACTGGCTAGTTAACTGTAATTTACACAATTTATTTTATACTTTTTATAATTTTTAAACTTATATACAATCGACGCTAGACATATTCAACTCTTATTGATTGATTTCCTCAACAAGAACACCCTTATCATGTGAGAAGGCGGCTTAAAAACTTAATTGAATCTCAACTGTATTTACGGCAATAATGATAAAAGAACGGTTTTAAAATGCCATACAACACCCACAACAAATACTGCGATGTACCCCAAATTTTCATGTTGAATAAACTACCATCTCGTTCTTCGATTCCTGCACGTGCCCGACAACACGATCCTTTATTCCCATAACTTTAAGATATACGATTGAGCGGGAGGTGTTTTATTCTCCCCTATAAAATATCTAATAAGGTTCAATATTGAAAGAGGTAATAACAAACGATCATAAAATATTCTCGAAGTTTACCCCATAAGTTCCCTTCCATCTGTACGGTATTTACTCCACACAAACATATTATCTCGATAAACTAAATTAAAAGTTTTAATAAGAAAGCTTGCAAACATTAAACTCAAACCTAAAAATTTAAGGTAGCTCGAAGCTATAAAGTTGACTCCGAAAGTTTTAATAAAACGTTTTCCATTTAACTTCTTTTATTTTTTATGGATCGATAGTTCACAGATGAGAGAATGATGTGCTATTTAAAGTGTAATGTAAAAGCAAAACACTAATATTAAAATATTCTGATTTTATCGAAATTTGCATGTGTTGAATGATTAGTTGATTGATATTTTTGACTAAAGCACTTTTTACCATGTTAATTTAATTAATTAAATTGATTTGAACTTAAATCAAAAAGTTATCGGAAAATTAAAATTTTAAATTTTATATTTTTGTCAAAAGCAGCAAGTTTTAAGAGTTAAGTCGAATTTTCGGAGGTCAATCAAGATTGTTCAGTTTCTCGAGTTTCAGGTTGAGTTTAAAGAGCTATGAATATTGCTTCAGTTTCAGCTTAGGAATAATTTTGTTGCAACAGATTTTTCGATTATTCTACAAATAAAAAGTTTTCACATTAAGGGAAATACTGAGCAGAAAATTGGTAAATTATGTATATAAAACCATTTTAGAGTCCTTACACGGATTGAGATGGTACAAGTGGCCTGTACAGTACGTATCCGACAGGAAGAAAAATTTGCTAATCTGCACAAAGAGAGAAAGCGGAATACATTTAAAGATAAGTTACCATTTATCCAACAGGAAAGTTATTGACAGACCATAAATTAAAATAAGCAGAAATGAATGACGGAGGAAATGTTATTAATGATGCAAGAAATATAGAAACTTGAAAGGTGCAAATAAATTCAAGAATTCGAGCAGAAGTACAATAATTGAGATTAAACAATTTAGAACATATGCTGAAGATAACGAAAAACGTTATTAGAAATTATGGTGGTAAATCTCATGGAAATATCAGAGACCGAGCAATATTTATCAATCCTAAAATTAATTAAACCGTCTAGGTCCTCTTTGAATTGAACATTGAATTCCTATTCAATGTCCGAGGAATCCGAAAATCATTTAACAGCATCTTCGACGCTAATATATTGAAACAAACTTTACCTCCGAAATAGACAATTTCAATGGCAAAATGGCTTTAAGATTTGGGGACAGAAAAGAAGGGAGAAATATATTCTGTTAATAAAAAGATATCCGTACAAAACAGATTTTTAACAAAAAAAAATTGCTAAAATTGCAGAACATTGCAAAGCTTTAAATTGTTTTCCATAGTTACTTGCGGTTTCGACCATCTAAACAATCTTTACCCACAGTTTGTGAGTCCAACTTTTAATATGACTTCAGAAACCGGGTTTTAAGTTCGGCTACTCTCACACTCCTAGAAGAATTAATTTGTTTGTAAAAACAATTTATGTTGTTGACTTGTTCATGACTCCACCATGTAGAATATTTCGCTGATGTAAAATGTCTTCTAAATATATTTAATGCTAAGAATAATTTTTAACAATGAAATTATGAGATATGTACAATTATTTTACCCTATTAGTTGCCAGTGCAGCGAGATTGCAGAATTTCATGTCTCATTCGGCTGATTTATAGTTTGTAGGATCAGTCAATCAGAAGCAACAATCGCTTTTTTTAATGGCAGAAACTTTTATTTTCCACCAATATTTGTTATCATCAACGGGAATAGGACATTATTGATTTTTGTTACCTACCTGGAAAGTTTGAAAATGCCAGGCATAAATTATAGAAATGCTGCGAGCAATCGAAATAAATTACGGTGCTGCGATGTTTTGCTCGATTTTTCTAAAAAGTTTTAGCGAACGCTTTTATACTGGAAATGCTTGTCGACGGAACATCGAAAAACTCCAAACCAAAATTCCTATCATTAAAATTCAATTAGAGAAAGAGCTTTTCGAACTACTATAACTTCAACCAATTATTTCCAATTTTAAGGAATCTTGGAAATTCTGGAAAATTGTGTTGCTTTATTCTAAATGAATATAAATGAAGGCGACTCTCTTGCGTTTATATGGCAATTTTGCTTTCTTCTATGTTACCTAAAGGTTACGGATCGGCAATTAAATACTATCTTTTGCTTTAGACTAATTTAATAAAATGTTCATTATTAAAATGCTTTCAACTTAATAAATTTCTAAATTACATCCATTAGTTTGAAGGCAATAAAAATATAG